TTTTGTTCTACCATATATATATAATCAGGTTTTTATTGCACAATCTACAAAGTTATTTACAATATCTTAATTTTTGTTCTACCAATAAATTCCCAATTCGTTTAAAATCATTAGATTAATTTAATTGAACATAACTCATCAAGATGATCTCATTTTCTTTGATTTTTTTTTCTCTATTATTTTTTGTTGTATCAATAAATTCCTAATGCGTGTAAAATCATTTGATTAATTTAATTGAACATAACTCATCAAGATGATCATTTTCTTTGATTTTTTTCTGTATTATTTTTTGTTCTACCAATATATTCCCAATTCGTTTAAAATCATTTGTGATTAAATTGATTTTTAATAAATATATATATTTGTTGTGATAATAAATTTTACTCGACCCATTATTATTTCTTTCCATTGTTTTATTAAATTCAACTTGGTTAATAATGTTTATTTGAATATTAAATTGATTTGTTTTTTTTTTAAATAATATATCTTTGTAATATAAATTCAATATCGTTACGAATTGTTACACGATAATTATTTCAAATGAAGTTTTGAAACGTGAATTTAAATCGATCGTGGGTGGAAGAAGGCTTTAACAAAAATTATCTTACCTTATTGTAGTAGTATTAAAATAATTCGATTTATATATAAATATCCTTAGAAATATTATTTATATTTTGAAATAAAACGTAAAAATTGAATATTCAATTTCAATTGAACGAACATGAATATACGAATAAAAATAAAGAAAAAACCTAATATAATATAATCCTGCAATAACAAAAAATCACTTTGAAATTATTTTAAACGTCACAATATGTATACCCACTTATACTATATTCAGAAAAGAAAATAAAAGAAATAAAAAGAAAAGAAAAGAAATGAAAATAAGAGAAAGGGATTTGAACATATTTCTTCAAGCATTCTAATAAAAGATAACACGTAAAAGAAAAGAAAAAAGAAAAAATAAAAGAAAATAAAAGAAAAAGGAAAAAGGAAAAAGAAAAGAAATTGAATAGCACGGAAATACGTATAACTATAGTACGTTAAATATAACCGAGGTCATAAGTTCGCGCCAGGTTTTGAAGCAAAGCGCAATTTGGCTGGTTGCTTATCGATTTACGCGTGGGAAACTTACGTAAAAGCAACTCGATAATAATCGTACCTTGCCATACGGATACACACACACAGACACACAGACACACACATACATATATATATATATATTTTAGATTGTAAATATCGATAACATTGTTCTATCAAATGTCACGTGTCGATAAGTAAAACTTGACAGTTCATTGATTTACCTAACTCACACGCATTGAAAAGTAAAAACGAAAAAGACAAAAAATCATATCACTACTTAACTTTCCCTAAAACAAACCCCATCCCTTTAGGGGGCCGCCTTCCTTACCCTGCCACCTTCGAAACAAAATATTTACAAACAAAAATTACGAATTACGAATAAATCAAAAAGCAGTCGTGTGCATCGATGCACATGTGTTACTTTGTAAAACTGCAAACACCATTGGTTGGTTGGTTGGTTGGTTGTATGGTTGTAAGTTTCGATCGATAAGAAATTCCAATGATATAATTGCAACACGTTTATGTTTCGTTATTAATCAACGTTAATTATTATTCTTACACACTATTAAACAATGTATAGTAAATTGTATTTGTGAGATTGAGATTTAAATTATATTCAATAAAAAAAAAACATTTGTTGTGTTAATAAATATATGTTTTTCTTATTGATTGTTTTAATCAACGTTAATTATTATTCTTACACA